CCGTAGTCGCCCTGCTCCTGCTCCCCCTCCTCTCCACACACACCTCTGTCTCTTCTAGCCCTGACGACGTTCCTTAGCTGGGTCACAAAACGTCTGCCAGAAAACCACCAACCTGTGAGACCACCAAGGACCCCTCAAATCAAATGTCCCTGCAGAGCTGCCCAGCCCCTTGCTTGGAGGGTGATACCCAAACCTACCTTTGGTGCCATTCTTCCACCACCGATGCCCATCCCCTCCTACTCTCGGGCTGTGGATCCAGGACTCCCACCCCCCACCTCCAATAAAAAGGCTGGGTACCAGGTGTGCCGGGAACGATCAGGAAGGAAGTCCGACGGAAAAGGCAAACTTTCCAGGCAGGTATTGTTCCTCGTTGGCCGACTTGACGATCTGGCATGCCTCTTCTTGCCGCTTCCTCGCTTCCTGTAGGGAGGAGAAACCAGGAGAGAGGGGGCTGGCACCTCCAAAGATAGAGGAAAGTGGGGGAGACACTCCACTTTTGCAGACCGGGGAAGAGGGGAAAATGATGCCATTCCCAACGGGGGTGATCGGCAAAAGACCTCGGTTTACTTCCGAAAGAATTGGAAAGAATTCCCGCTTATCTTATTTGCGGCCATGCAACGATTCCAAGCTAGATGCTCGCTTGACTCCTTCCTCCCTCCGGCCTGGTTGCCCTCGACCGGCCCAATGGGAACCAAACGGAGTCATGGAATAATGGAGGTGGAAGGGACCTCGGAGGTCATCTAGTCCAACCCACCGCCCGGGGAGGAGACCTTAGAGGATCATGGAATAACAAAGCTGGACCTTGAAGGACCAACTCTTTCATTCCACGATTATGTAAGGGTCTCCTACTTGAGCAGGGGGCTGGACTAGAAGACCTCCAAGGTCCCTCCCAACTCTGTCATTCCATGACTCTGTTTGGTTCCAATCAGGCCGGTCGCGGCGTCACCCTGTCGAAGACCCACACATCCAGAGGATAACCAGGTCTGCTGGCATTGCCAGCCAGGCCGGAGGGAGGAAGGAGTCAAGCAAGCATCTAGCTTGGAATCGTTGCATGGCCGCAAATGACATAAACATGAATTCTTTCCAAGATTCTTGTAATGTTGGTGATCGACAATGAAGGATCAAGCGGAGGTTGATATTCCTGAGTGGTTCAGGGGGAGGGGTGGCTCAGGCCTCACCCCAGCCCTGACAGCACCTGACAGCACCTAGCTGACGATGCAATGGGGATTTTCTGACTTCGGGGTCTCCTCTCCCTGGGGAGAAGCAGAGATGTGGGTGTTTGGCAGCGGATGAGGGAGAGGGAGGGGAGTGCTGACCCACCTGGAAGATGGGATTGTTTTCGGATAAGCATCGGAGGGATTTGTTGATAATGGTCCCGGGATTGGTGGCATCAAACTTGNTCGGATGTGCTGGGGAAGGGTTCTACGATGACTCGGGATGGCCAACTCACTACAGCCAACTTACCATGGCCAACTCACCACAACAAATTCACCACAACCAAATTGCCATGGTCAACACTGGCCAACTAGCCATGGCCAAGTCTCCCCAACAAACTCACCACAACAAACTTGCCATGGTCAACACTGGCCAACTAGCCATGGCCAAACTGTCTAGGGCCAACTTGCTATGGCCAATTATCTATGGCCAACTTGCCATGGCAACTTGCCACACCAATTCACCATTGCCAACTGTTTATGGCCAACTAGCCATGACCAAGTCTCCCCAACCAACTCATCACAACCAACTCAACACAATCAACTTGCCATGGTCAACACTCTATGGCTAACTAGCCATGGCCAACCTGTCTATGGCCAACTAGCCATGACCAACTTACCACAACCAACTCAACCCAACCAATTGGCCATGGTCAACTTTCGATGCCAACTCTCCATGGAAGAAGAATTATACAAATATTGAAGAAATGGTGGAACAGAAAGAAGAAAAAAACAAGAAGGAGAAGAAGAAGGGAAAGGAGAAAGAGGAGACGAAGGAGAAGAACGAGGAGGAGGAAGAGGAAGGAAGAGAGGAGGAGAAGAGAAGAATGAGAAGGGGGAGGAGGAATATCCTCAGTGCTCGGAGCTTAGTTGTTTGTTTTCTTGCAGACGTTTCAGGACCCAGCGAGAGAACATCATCAGGGTTAGAAGGGATTGTGGTTTGTGGAGAGGAGGGGGAGGTGAAATGGTGGAGCAGAATGCTTCATGAAATGCTGCCGAAAGGGGGACAGAATCAAATGGGAAGGCCGACAATTAAAATAATGTCCAAAATTTTAAATTCTTCCAAATAACTGTATTGTTGAATTGTCCTGCTGCTATTTGGCTATGGCGAGTTGACCCCCCCCCCCCCCAAAAAAAAGAGGGAGAAGGACCCTTACGAAACCTGCCTGTGTTGGGGGGAACCCACGAGGACATCTCCCCCCCCCCCCAAGGGCAGCGGTCACTTCCCAGGCAAGCTTTTGGTTTAGGAGCACGGTGGTCCTTTGTGTGTATATGGGCACTGGTGAGCCTGCTCCAAAAATCCCCCTCCCCAATAATGCTTAACAAGGTAACCGCAATTCTTTGTTCCAGATTAATCCCCCTTAAGCGAGCATTATGAAACTCGGCCTGCCTGGCGTAGCCACTTCCACTCTTTTCTCGTGATGGGGTGGGCAGGGGGGGGGTCAAGCCAGGATGCTTCTGCAACCCCCATTCTGGGGGGGAGGGGCTAGAAATTTCACAAAGTAGAGACACGACAACCTATTAAAAAACAAACCAACATCGGCACGTTTGCAATTTCCTTTTTTTTTTAGTGTCTGTGTAACGAAAAGATGGCGTGCAGATTTGCAAATCGGGAAGTCAGAATTTGCTATCCGAAGCGAATTCGTGCAGCCCCATTTCACCCCCGGGACATTCCCACAACCTCCGCAGCCCTGTACTGTTACGCTGCATGTTGTTGGTCTCCCACCTGGTCATAGAGAGGCCCGGCCCCTTCCCCAAAATCGCAGAGGGTTCTTAGCAATAGCAATAGCAGTTAGACTTGTATACCGCTTCATAGGGCTTTCAGCCCTCTCTAAGCGGTTTACAGAGTCAGCATATCGCCCCCCACAGCATCCTCTCGCTGGGCTCCCGATTCCTCGCTTCCCTCCGATGAGTCGT